CAGGTGTTCTCCCAAAGTAGACCGCCAGCTGCAGCCTCCCTCGGGCCGTAACCCAAGAGTAACGTCAGGTAAGCAACTGGGGAAATGCATTTTCTAACATCCAAAAACCCCCTCCAAATTTTTTATTTTATGGGAAGAGGGAGGTTTTTACTTATTTATTTTGGCCCCCCTTTTTTTTCTAATAGGATTTTTAACTAGTAAATATCCTGGGGGGGGATTCATTACTCAAAGAAAATCCCACTTTATCCCCCTCGAAGATTTAAAGTTTCTTGGAATGGGTTAGGAAATAAGCCCTATTCACAGCGCCAGATAGGGTTACGGCCGTAAGCATTTTATTTCATGGCTCTCTTCGTCCTTCACTCTTTCCACCTCCAACCAAGAATTATATTTGAAATGCAGCCCTGTATTTACAAAAGAGTCTTTTGTAAGTCACTTAATTTGTATTTCTATTTTAAATGTTCACATGCATTTCTGAGTATACATTTTAATCAGTATATATTTATTGAGCAGTTAACAACGTTAAAGACATTGTGCTAGTTGCTATGGAGAATTAAAAAAACCTAAGAAGACAATATCCCTGCCCTCAAGAAGTTTACAGTTGAGAGACAGCCAGACTATAATAAATTCTTTAAGTAAGTATAAAGTTTTGTGAAAGTACAGCTGAGGGAGAGACCAGTTCTGGCCATGGGACATGGGTAATGGAGGAGACTCACTTAAGCCTTGACGTGAGTCCTCAAATGGTCTTTGAAGGGGAAAGGGATAGAACCCAGCATGTACAGAGGAGCAGAGGTGAGAGGCATGCCACGTGTTTGAAAAATTGTTTGTTCACAGTATGTAATTGGAAGTAATGGGAAATTATTGCAAGAAGGCAGAGTGGGATCCAGTCACAGAGGTTCTGAATGCATTCTTTTTTTTCTTCTTCTTTTTTTAATCCTCACTCAGGGATATGTTTTACTGATTTCAGAGACAGGAAGGGAAAGAGTGAGAGAGAGAGAAACATCGATTGCCTCCCTTAAGTGCCCCCACAGGGGATTGAACCTGCAGCCTCTCTGCATGGGACGACACTCCAACCAATGAAGCCACACTGGCCAGGGCTTGAACGCATTCTTTTGATGTTGCAAAATATATCCTTTTAATAATTGCTGATTAAAAATATTTATTGTAGCCCTGGCCAGTTTTCTTAGTGGTTATAGCGTCCACCTAACCACTGAGAAAGGACTGAAGGGTTGCGGGTTCGATTCCCTGCCAAGGGCACGTAGCTCTGTTACAGGTTCCCTGTCCCTGGGGGGCTGGGGTGGGGGGCACATGTGGGAGGCAACCAATCGATGTATGTCTCTCTGTCTCTCCCCTCACTCCTCTCCCTTCCATTCTCTCTACAAATCAATGGAAAAAATATCCTTATATCATCAACTGGCTTTTAGATTATCTCAAAGTAAGCTAACTTAAACAATCACAGATCACAATGCAATTTCTTCTGAGTTTAGATTTTTAAAACAACTGTAGTGCTTGGTATAAAAGGTACTGTGCTTTGATTTTTTTTAATTGAGAATTTGCTAATCTTTTAACATTCTCTTGCCAGTATTTTTTTGTTGGCAGCTGTTATAAATTATTTTATGCATATTTGGGCTGGATGCTCACAATTTTTTTCTGTCCCATATTATTCAACTTGGGGAGGATCCATTTTGTGAAAGAGGAGTCACAGTGATAGACAGTCACTCCTGGGTTATAGATTATGCACAAGGAATCAACAGATTTAAAATATGATAATTTCTACTGGACTTTAAAATTACTGATTTGATTTCTTGCCACTGCCTTGTGTACTTAAGCTATACATTTTAGAAAGATATTGTGTTATGTTACCCACTTAATTTTTCTTATCGTTACTCCTTTCTCTAAATTTATAAATATTTCTTATTCATATACATTTTTAGTATTCATGTATGTGTATCTATATGTGTTTTTTTACATAAGCACACATATAGATATTTTTTCATCACCCTTCCAGAAACAGTTCAGAATGACCACTTTAACCCACCGCGCCCGTCGCATGGAAGTAGGCAAGAACTCTGAAAAGAAGGTAGAAAGTGAGGAAGACACTAATCAAGACAGGAACCCAGACAATGAAGACTCTGGAGACTCTAAGGATATTCGCCTCACCCTTATGGAAGAAGTATTGCTCCTGGGACTAAAAGATAAAGAGGTAATGTAGTCGGGTTGGCTAGGCCATGCCAAAGACTTAAATACTGAAATGTTTTTAGGAAGTAATAGAATAGAATATTTTGATTACTGTTAAGTTGGCCTTAGAATTATGCTGTAGACATCTGAGTGGGGAATGGGGAGTTTTGGAGGATAGCTGATACTTGGAAGGTAAAATCCAGAAGTGTAATTACTTAAAGTGTAATTTAATTACAAAATTATTCCAGAATTTTAGAGAATACATGAGAGGATATAACACAGTGTAAAGTTTTTGTACTTATAGTTTCCCAAGTGAGAATGATGCTGAAATAACCTCTTATTGAATTAAGAGAGAAGGCCCAGCCTTGGCTGGGTGGTTCAGTTGGTTGAAGCATCACCCCCTACACCAAAAGGTTGTGGGTTCTATTCCATTCAGGGCACATACCTAGGTTGCAGGTTCCATCCTGGGTCGGGGCGCATTCGGGAGTCGTCTATTGATGTTTTTTTCTCTCTCTCCCTTTCTCTCTCTCTAAGGTTAATTAAAAAAAAACAAAAAACATATCCTCAGGTGAGGATTTAAAAAAAAGGTCCAATAAATGAAAAAGCAAAGCTGACTCTCCAAAAGAATGTCAGAGTATAATGTTATAACTTTGAATTTCCTAACTTTCTCAGGTCACCATCATGTGATTTTAAATGACTTTTTAATAGACTGGTGTTGGGTTTCAAAAATAATAATAATGTTGGAGTAGGTCTGAAGATTAGGTGGTATAAGTACTGTTTTGAGATGTTTACACAGTGCAGAAGAAATATTCACTGACTATAGAGGTAGAGATATTAGAACTAAAAAACTATTTTGTTTTAGTTTTGAATATAAATTATTAATTTCCTGCTGACCCTGGATACTAGAATTTTTGCTTTTGACCTGTACAGAAACTTCCTTTGGACTTGTCTTTGTATGTTTTATTTATAATAGTTGATATAAACTTAAGGAAATAGAATTAAGAAAATAAAGGAGCTCACCCTATCCAGTTTTGCTCAGTGGTTAGAGCTTTGGCCTGTATGTACCAAGGGCACATACTTTGGTTGCAGGCTCGATCCCCAGCCCTGGTTGGGGTGCGTGCAGGAGGCAACCAATTGATGTTTTTTTCTCTCTCTCTCCATTCTACTCTCTGAAAAGCAATGGAAAAATATCCTCAGGTGAAGATTTAAATAAATAAATAAATAGGAGCTCATTTAGAGCTATAATCATAGTGGGTACTCATCATATTGGTGAGATGCTGTACAAAGATGGGCAAATGATAATTGCCTTTTAAATTTTATTTTTGAGTATGGTAAATTAAGTTTTTAGTTTTTGTCTCAAGAAGAATAAAAAAGGATAAATCATTAGGTACAAGTAAATAGGAGAGGTCAAGCCTTTGGATATGTTAAAGTAGTAGTAGTAGTAGCAATAGTTTTTCAAAATGTCAGTTACATAACTATGTCTAAAAATGTTACATTGATTTCCAGCTCTACTTATTTTCTTCTCATCTCCCAATGTACTTGTAGATTTATTTAATCAATATTTAGTGTGATTGGGGACATCCATTCTGTGCTTAGCATTATGCAAATATTAAAGTAAATATAAAGTAAGTATAAAATAGTATATATGGTCCCTTACCCCAAGAAATTTGTATTCTAGCTTGGGAGACAAGATATGCATACTTAAGTTAAATAACCCAAAGGTCCATCAACAGTAGAACGGATAAAAATGATGTCTGTTTCTTTAAATGACTATAAGTATATTTTTAGAATGAAAATGAACATTGTTACAAAACATGTAAAATTCTCATGTAATGTTCAGTAAAGGAATCCAGACACAAAAGAATACATACTATATGATTCTATGTATATAAAATTCAAAAAACTATAGTATTTGGGGTTGCATGTTATAAATGGTAAAATTATAAAGAACAGCAGGAAAGGGATTATCATAGTTTTTAGGATAGTGGTTACATTTTTGTGGGCCAAGGGGGAGGGAAGTTTTAGTGATTAGAAAAGAGAATGGGGGGCTTTCTGGGTACTAACATACTAAATATGTTTCTGTACTTGTGGGAGGTTTCATGGATATTGACTTAAGGATAATTCATTGTTTTTCTCTTTTGTGTACTCTTCTGTGTATGTGTTATATTTCACAATTCAAAAGATTTTTAAAGAAGTAAAAAAAGCAAAATTTTCCATGTTAGAACAGTAAGAACCGAGAGAGTTGGAGGAGAGATCATCATGGGTTGGAATAATCTGGGGAAGAATAGAGGGGAGTAAAGCAAGCTGGGCCTTTAAGAATGGGTAGGTCTAATAGAAATGGAGAGAAGGGAATACATTGTGGATGAGGGAACCTGAGTAAGCAAAGGTATCATGAACTTGATAAGTTTGGGAGATAACTGACTAACCAGTAGGATTAAAGTAGGTTGTGTTCTTGGAGGATAATGAGAATCAAAAGTGGCATATTAGATTCAGAGTATGGAGGATTCTGACTTCTAGGCTGAGACATTGAGACTCTTACTGTCATCTCTTTTCATCCCTTTTTTAAGCAAAAGAGGATTAGCCTAATGAAAACAGCAAAGCTCATTTCATTTTTGTGTCCAAATTAAGGACTTAGTGATATTTTTGCTTTATTTCTGAGTATATGTTTTGCTATGTATATTATTTCTTTTTCTTTCTTTTTTTATCCTCACTCGAGGATATTTTTCCATTGCTTTTCAGAGAGAGTGGAAGGGGATGGAGGGAGCAAGAGAGAGAGAGAGAAACATCGTTTGGTTTCCTCCCACACACACCCCGATGTGAGAGACACATTGATTAGTTGCACATGCCCTTGACCGGAATCGGACCTGGGACCCTTCAATCTGCAGGCCGAGGCTCTAACCACTGAGCAAAACCAGCTATGGCATGGATAGTATTTTTTAACTCTTTTTTTGCAAAGCTTTCTCCTAGTAATGCCATTTATTGAATACTTACTATACACTGGGACAGAAAAGCTTCTCATCATATTTTTCATGTCACTGGAGTAAAAGTTGACAAGAAGTATTATTCATTGGAATTATGAAAATATATTTTCATTCATTTGGTCACCAAAAATTTATTGAATGTCTCAGACTGTCAAGTGCTAGATATTGAAAGAGAGCAAGACAATAGTTCCTGCTTTTGAGATCATTTCGTCTATGACATGGGAGTGGCTGGAGAGGTGGGAGGGAGGGGTGGGAAAGTCAGCAGACCATTGCAGTATGGCGTGATATGTGCTATGTTCTTGGTACTGAAGGAATGAAGAGGAAAGAACCTAACTCAGGTGAATGGTGGAAAGTGGTAGTAGGAGAGGGAAGAAGAGATATTGGGAGACTTCTGGGTGGTGATAAATCTTAACCTGAATTCTGAAGATGAGCAAGAGTTAGTCTGTGAAGAGAGACAGGTTGTAGGAAAAAAAGAACATCAGTTGGATGTTTGTGATAATTTCAGTGATTTGCAACTGGAATAACCACCAATATTTGAAAACATCCTATTTGTTTTAAATAAACTCAGGTGTTTTGAAATTTAAGTACCAGAGTTGTCCATGCAATTATATGTTTTATTGTTTAATTTTTCTAAAATTGTGAAATGTAGCATATCTAGAAAAGTTTATAAAACACTTATGTACAATTTAACAAGTAATTTTAAAGTAAACACTCATGTAACCACCACCAGTAGAGTGCAATCAGCATCCCAGAGGCAGCCTCTTGTGCCTTTCTCTAAGCTCCTGCTGCCCTTCCTCCCTGTGGTTTTATATGTGTATATGTCCCAGAACAAAATATTTTAGTTTTGCCTGTTTTTAAACTTTATGTTATTGGGTTAATACTGTTATGTATCTTTTTATTTAGTATGATGTTTGAGATTCATCCATGTTGTTGCATATAATTTAATTTAATTCAGTTCACTGCAATATAGTATTTTGTTATGTGAATATATCACCATTCATTCTACTGGCTAGTGGACCTTCAGGAGTCCATTATCAACAGTGCTGCTAAGAATATTTCAGTACTTATCAGTTATGTTCTTTCAAACAATGCCACTATTCATACATATAGAAAAATGATAAAGCAGACTGGATAAAACTTTTATCTTAAATTATAAAGCATGTTAATGCTAAGCTTTTTCAAGCTACTAATGATTTTCCACTGGGTATAATTCACTCATTGTAATTTATTAGCAACGGGAAACTAGAAATTAAAGCTTTTTTAAGCTGGTTAAAAAAAAAATTTTAGCGAACTAATCAAGATATTTTATTTTTTTAATTTTAATTTTATTTTTTTAATCCTCACCTGAGTTTATTTTTTCCATTGCTTTTTCAGAGGGTGGAAGAGAGAGAAACATTGACATGAGAGAGACACATCAGTTGGTTGCCTCCTGCACACTCCCCAACCTGGGCCAGGGATCGAGCCTGCAACCAGTCAATACATTTTTAAAAATCAGCAAGTCAGTACACAACTTGTCAGTGAATGGCTATAGATAGAGAAAATGCTACTCTTTGAAAGTTTCTCAGTTCTAAAACATTTTGTTAAAATTAAAAATTGAAAGTTTAATTTAGATCACTACCTGACCTTTTAGTTTCCTGATTGAACAAAGTAGTTATTGCTGACAAGTGTGAATAGGGCAAGTGTATCAGAAGGACTCGTTTGTCAGGTTTTGTGGTTTTTATTACCATAAACTGTTAAAAAAGAACTTCTGTTTTGTTTTTATTATATCCAGTCAAATAACCCCAAAGAATTATTTCCTTTTGATAGAAAAGGAAATAAACTGAAAGACCAAAGTCCTATTTTAACAATAGGAAAATATAGTTTAAACTATTTCATCGAGAGCCTCCCTTTCCCTCTACCTTCCAACCGCCTAATGCACACTATTCTGAAATATCTGGAATCGAGATTATGTCAGAAATGACCCAATTAAATTTAGACCTTTGGCTGTTACCACTGAGCCTGTAAACTTGTTGTGAGCCATTTAGTTTCTTGTTTCCTTCATATG